ATAGCCCCTGATCCTTCCAGGCAGTTTGTGGTGGAGGTTGACGCGTCAGAGGTGGGAGTTGGTGGGGTACTATCCCAGCATTCCCCCACAGATGGCAAGGTGCACCCCTGCACATTTTTCTCATCGTTTGTTCTCCGCCGAACGTAATTATGATATTGGTAACAGTTGTTGGCAGTCAAGTTGGCCTTGGAGGAGTGGCGTCATTGGTTGGAGGGTTCGGGGGTTCATTTTGTCGTCTGGACAGATCACAAGAATCTTGAATACATCAAGTCCGCAAAAAGATTGAACTCTAGGCAGGCTCGGTGGGCTCTTATTTTTTTTCTCGGCCGATTCGATTTTTCCATTTCTTACCGTCCTGGTTCTAAGAACATCAAACCGGATGCGTTATCCCGTATTTTTGATCATTCAGAGCGCCCGTCCCTGCCCGACCCCATTGTGCCAAGGAAACTTTTTTTATTTCTGCGGTCACGTGGGAGATCGAGTCTAAGGTCTGCACGGCCTCTCAAGGGGTAACGCCCCCGTCCGGGTGCCCACCGAACCGGTTGTTTGTGCCAGAGTCCGTAAGGTCCGACGTTATCCGATGGGCTCATTCGTTATCCCGTATTTTTGATCATTCGGAGCGCCCGTCCCTGCCCGACCCCATTGTGCCAGGGAAACTTTATTTCTGCGGTCACGTGGGAGATAGAGTCAAAGGTCCGCACAAGGGGTAACGCCCCCGTCCGGGTGCCCACCGAGCCGGTTGCTTGTGCCAGAGTCCGTAAGGTCCGACGTTATCCGATGGGCTCATTCTTCCGTCGCGGTCCCCTCTGCCTACGCATTCGTCCAGAGGTGCCGTCGCACCTGGAGCAAGGCCAGGGTGACCCTCCTCCAGGTGGGGGCGCGCACCAAGGTCCAGGCCGATCGCCACCGGTCGAAACCTCCCGTTTACGTCGTCGGTCAAAAGGTGTGGCTTTCAACCAAGAATATTCCTCTCCGATCCGTCAGTAATAAGCTTGCTCCCAAATTCATTGGCCCGTTTACTGTCACCAAGATTATTAGTCCGGTGGCAGTCCGCCTCAAACTTCCTCCAGCGTACAGGAGAATTAATCCGTCGTTTCATGTATCCAAAATTAAGCCTGTTTTTCATTCAGCCATTAATCCGCCAGTCCCGGTTCCTCCCCCGCTGCGTCTCGTAGACGGGGAACCAGCCTGTTCGGTAAAACGTATTCTGGACTCAAGGCGGAGGGGAAGAGGATTTCAGTACTTGGTGGACTGGGAGGGTTACGGTCCGGAGGAGAGAAGTTGGGTACCTGCTAGGGACATACTGGACCACTCTCTTATCGATGAATTTAATCAGCAGGTAAGTCTTCCTGGGAATGTCAGGAGGCATTCCTAGGGGGAGGGGTACTGTCACGGTTCCAGGGTCCGTGCGGTCCTTTTGTGTCTTGTCATGTGGTATGTGTGTACGTCATTCATTAGTGGTTGCAGCTGGCGCTCAATCAGAGCGCGCCAGCTGCAACTCATTAGCGATTCCTTTTATTAGGACACCTTGTTCAATGTGTGTTTGTCGGTTCGTTATTCTCATGTCCCGTCTCCCTGTCAGTTCTGTTTTCAGCTCTCGCTCAGTCAGGGTACGGATCTTCAGCCCTCTCCTCGGTTTGGCCAGCGCTTTGGGAGGAAGGTTTCTCAAGAGGAGCTCTGATCTTGATCAAGTCCCCGAGGATTTATCACCTTGTGTATCCATTGTGGTTACCAAATAAACCTTTTATACTTGCACTTGGATCCTGACTCTTTTCTACCGTGACACAAAACTGATGTCAGCCAAGATACATTTTGAATGAAGGATTGACAAAGTCTTGTTTGGAAGTTTTGAAAATGTTTCGAAAACCTTGGCGTTTGAATGTATACAGGCCTTACACACAGAAAAAGCAAGAGATTGAACAATTTAGCATTGAATTGTTGTATTGAAAGCATGACTACTTGAGTAGCACTGCTCAATTTTGTCATTTACTATTCCTCGTGTCTATTTATTAAAGTAGCTTTTATGAAATCACCCGAAGGTCAAAGATTGAACTGACTTTCTCTGGTACAGATTTAGATGTTTAGAGACACTATTTTGCTCATTGTTTAATATTTCCTGAACCCATTAACTTCTAAAGTGAAGGTCAGACCTCTCCAGTCATGTTCAACATTACAAATAAGAAGAATAAAACATTTTTGATGGGAAAATTAGTCCTTCGCCGCAATTCAGTTTCTCTTTACCGTCTAAAAACACAGTAATTTGAATTCGACCTTTCACAGGAAACATCCATGATTGTGTCAAAAGTGATTTTTGGTGTTAAATCAGTAAATCGAGAAATGGCCTTTTTCTCCCAGTTTCTAAGCGTCTGTCTCCGTCTGAACACATGCTGTCAGATATGAATCATAGCTGAGTCATTTCAGCTGTCACCTTCTCACAGATAAACATCTTTTAAATGAACAATCTGGTGATACAAGTACACAACAACGTCTTTGTCTCCCTGGTGTGTAAACTCCCGATCCGTGTTTCTGGTTTATGCTCTTAATAAATCCTACTGCAAGTGGATTCTCCGGCTTGTGTTTCCGTGACTCCATCGTTACAATGCTGAAGCACCATGTGATCTTATCTTGCTTTTACAAGTCTCATGTTTGACGGGACTGTTCCCCAACTGCTTCACTTCACAGGTGCAATGCTGTACCGGGTGCGCTTCTGAGCAAGTTTATGTGGGAAAAGCCAAACATATAGAGCTGCTTATGTAATCTAAATGTATTAGTTTACAAGTCATGCACTATGCTAAGAGTGTTTTGAGCTAATAACATAGTGTTATGCAAGGATCCACACAAAAGTAATCATTTATTAACTGATAATCTGCCACTGTATGGGCATGATTTGTGTGAAATGTGAAAAAAGTTGATGGCATTACACTGTAAAAAAAAAAGACTTTTGGAAGTTGTAATAAAAGGTGAATGGAATACATTTATACAATAAAATATGGTAACACTTACTAACTAGTTGCTTATTGGCATGCATATTACCAGAATATTAGCCATTTATTAGAAGTAATTAAGCACATATTAATGCCTTATTCTACATTCCTAATCCTACACAATACATAACTTAACAACGACCTTAATGACTATTAATAAGCAGCATATTAAGAACTTATTGAGGGAAAAGCCGTAGTTAATAGTGAATAAGTGTTCCCTATTCTAAAGTGTTACCAAAAATACTATTTCATTTCTTTCTGATTAAAAACAAAATGCTTAATTAAATGTTACTTACCCCTTTTCTGCGTGTAATTATTTATTCACTAGCAATTGTCAAAGTAACAAAATTTTCTATTTATATTATTATTATTATTATTATTATATATTTTTTGCAGTCTGTTGTTCAGTTCAGCTGGAAACTGGAGTGAAATGCATGCTTTTTTTTAATCACACATTTCTGAACATCTGTTAACAGCCTAATATGCAAATGCCGAGACAAATTTTACAACAGAGAACAAAAGTGCTGGAGAAGTTTAAAAATGAAACCCAGAGGGGCTCGTACAAAGCAATTTCCCTCAAATCCAAAATAAATGACTTTTCAAATCACAAACAGTTCTTTAACTGTGGCTAGCAGTAAGTAGACTTCATTTTTATTTTTTGCTCAACTCTAAAGTCACCTGACCTTTCTCTGCAGTTGCTAACAAGCCCCGCCGCCCTGACGTACCAGGTATGTTCAGGCCCTCGAATGACTTGTGTTTTGTTCTGTTCTCTCGTTCTTCCTCTGTATTTCTCAAGTCTGGCTTATCACTAAAGCTTCATCCAAAATATCTGAACAGCATCCTTCCCCCCTCACTAGGGCTGTCCACTCTAAAGCCCTTTTATGACTTATGAGCGGTTTTAAGACCCATGGAGAGAATAAATGATGCTCCTTCAGACGTGTTGGATATGGCCGGTGAGAGCTCCCTCAGTGAGTTTCTACAGGATGACGAGTGACCAGCCACCGTCATTAATGCATATTTCCGCTTATTGGCCTGTTCTCGAACGCGACGCTCACCCTCGAGAGGAGCAGAGTTTGTCCCGGCGTCTACATCAGGAGCAGGCTGAGTTAAACGCTCAGAGAGATGGGGACAAACTCTGACGTAGAGAAATGGTGGAATGAAGCTGAAGTGTCTTGTTGTGAGTGACGTGACTTTGACGTTTGCGTGCTGATTTATTACAGTCAGGGATGTAAACGAATTGTTGGAGAATGCCGCAGTCGTTTACTCACCCTCATGTTGTTCGAAACCAGTGACGTCTGTCAACATTCTTTTCATGCATCAAGTTTAAATACATGCATGAGGTGATCATTTCAGAGAATAACAACTTGTTATTGTATGACCACTGAAGATTTCAATTATACCGCATCTATCATAGACTAATGTCCTGAGGTTTGTGAGCCCGGGTCCCTTTTGTCTAAAAGAAGTACATTTTAGCATACTCACTTATTATGTGAATATTATAGTTTAAGGAATATACTGAATATAGGTGTGAAGTGAATGTAATATTTTCACACTCAACTGCATGTTTACTGCAATTAAAATGCGTGAATGTTATTTACATTTATATTAAATTCAATTATGTGAAATTTAGAGTTTTGACCCACTTAAGTAGAACTTAAGTACATCTTTTAATTGCATAATTGCATGTAGAATCTTTGTAATATGGTTTAAATGTAACTTCTGAATGTACTGACTTTCTGAATGTACTGACTTTAATGTACTTTCAGCTGAATATACTTTAATGTAATTTCACTTGAAACATGTATGTAATTAATTTAAATATATTTGAAGAGTCCAGATGCAAAAAGCCTCTAAGTGCCATCTGTTTTTTTCCCCCTAAAATTAGCATTTTTATCAGGCTCTCATGTTTAGATTCAGTACTTTTACTTTGATGGCAAAAAATGTAGAACATAAATACAGGAGCTTGATAAAAATGCTCATTTTAGATGAACATTTTAGCCGGCACTTAGAAGCTTTTGCATCTGAACTCTTCATTTGTAATGAAGTTAATGCAATATTGAATAACACACTAGAATTATAATAATAAGTACTTTACACGTGCTCTAGTATGTTTGTCAACACATCAAAATAAGTGTACTTCTTTAAAACATGGCAAATGATGTGAAACAATGATTTAAAATGTACTTTTAAAGTAACATTTTTAATTTGACTTTTACAGAGTGCACTATTTCAAAGGTCACTTTTTAAAAGAGTACTTAAGTGTGTTAAGCGTTCAGTCATAAAAGTCTCTTTTTAAGTCACTTAAGTGACCTTTTATTTCATTAATATTATTTTATCTGCAATCACAGTTGTTTAAAAATACATTTTAAAATTTAATGTGCACTAAAAAGCGAACATAAAATACAATTAAGCACACTTCTTTTTCACAAGGGTCACTCTATTATATGGAAAAGAGTATTTATTTCACACAAATGTAATATGGGTTTCAAACGATCAAACGATTTTCATTTTTGAGTGAACTGTTAATTTATGTACAAATGTGAAGGCATGAGAAATTCAGCTGCGATATGTGATGGTTTAATGAAGTTAAAAAGCTGGACAATAAGGGGTCACATGTTTTGGTGAGGTGGAATCTAAGTATCTAAAGGAAGGAAGTTTTAATGCAATTGAAACTTGAAGTTAAATAGCCATGTATGATCATGTATTTAATGCGTTGAATGATGCTATGATGTTTACATATGCTGTCATTTCAAGCATGTGTATATATGAGCTGGAAATGGGTGTGTGCAACTATATGAAGGCATGTGTAGATTGGTCACATGCATATGCCCTTGTGCACTGGCGTGTCTGTATGTTTATGTATGCGGTTGACCGAGGCGACAGCATACATGCAGTAACCATACATTTGCACCTGTGTCCATATGTTCAGATTTTGACGTCTCTTGGTCTCAAGATCTCTTGTTTATCTTCAGCTCCTATTTCACACAGATTTAGAAGGTGCAGAGGCAGCACTTCTGGCGTTTGCTTTGATTGCCTCGTGTCTCGTTTGGCTAAATAGTGTGAGAGAGATCCGTCTTTGCCTCATTGGGTCGGTGTGTTTTATGGCTGCATTATGGCTGTTTTACTGAATGGCCCAACATGACTATTAAAGGATTGAGCGCTCTGCATTGATGCGCTGTTTGTTTAGCTCTGACAGACTCTGATTCAGACTCACATACAGTACAATAAACTCTTTCTTATTCCTGCAGCTTGCGGCCCAGGTGCTTGATGATCTTGACGATGAGGACATTGGATTCGGTTTGGTGGATTCAAAGAAAGAGAGAGCTGTTGCTAAGAAGCTGGGTAATACGAATGCATCTGAGATCTATTACCTTCCTTTGTCTGCCTGTAATACAATTCTTGCCTTCACTTTCCGAAAGCCGTCAGTCTGTTGAAGTATACACTGCTGGTGAAGAGCAAATAAAAAAATTTACGTTTAACAGAAAATGAATTTTTCCCTGTAGCAAAAGGATTAGCTGTTATTGTATTGCTGTCTTGTTTCATCATAGCCTATACACTGAAAAACACTTGGTGCATGTTCTTGATCAGTATTTTCTGTTACTAGAACCACATTCTTATCATTAAAGCATTGTCTTCTGATGTTAAGACTAGAGTTGGGATTATGACTGGTTGAAAAAGTGTTGTTCCAGGAAAATCCTTCTTAAATCATGTTGTGCAAATGTTGATATAGTATCCAGTCCGTCTTTAATCTGCTAATCCATTCAAACACCTCTGAGACGTTCAGATGCTTGTTTTGGGCAGGTCTGCTGGAGGTGGACAGCATCTACATCTTCGCTGATGACGAGATCATCGAGTACGATGGAGAGCTGGCGGCCGACACGCTGCTGGAGTTCCTCTATGACGTGAGTGATCATCATCGTAATCGATCACGCATCTAAAGGTCATTGATTATTGATTGACTGGTTCTTCTGTCAGGTGATCGAGGAGCCTGTGGAGATCATCAGTAATGACAGAGAGCTCAAAGGCTTCCATCACATCGAGGAGGACATCAAACTGATGGGTTACTTCAAGAGCGCCAAATCTTCACGTTAGCATGCCGTTACACCCAGAACTTCTTTAATAAACTCTTATTACTCATATACTTGTAACAAGCAGCTTCCATCATGCCAATGTTGTTATTTTTCAGACTTCACTGAGTACGATGACGCAGCTGAAGAATTTCATCCATTGATCAAGTTCTTTGCCACATTTGAGCCCAGGGTAGATTAATTAATTAATTCATTCATTCATTCATTAATTCATTCATTCATTCATTCATTCATTCATTCATTCTCAAAGGGGCATGTGATTATTGAATCATGATAAAAATATCCTTAAATAAAGCAAGCAAAAATCTAATTAATTTAACAGCAACTCATAACTTTTGCGGTGCTGTCAAACGATTAATCACGATTAATTATGTATATATTTTTTTTGCATACATGTATGTTTGTGCATTTGTATATACATAATAAAAATACACAGCACACACACACACAGTATATTATATAAACAAGAAAAAAGTTTAATTTGGATGTGATTAATCCTGATTAATCGTTTGACAGCACTAAAGGCAGACCTGTCATAAGCTCTTATCGTGATATAATCCATGTTTTACGGTATGTGTCAGAGTGCCCACAAGACTATCCAACTCAATACACATACAATTTGTGATTACGTAGGAAACAAACTGGTTTAGTGTATGATTTGAAATTATTCAAAGCCTAAATGATCTCTGTATTCATTGTCTGAATGTTTCCAGATCGCTAAGAAATTAAACCTGAAGATGAATGAAGTGGATTTTTACGAGCCCTTCATGAACAAACCCGTCAGCATCCCCGGCAAACCCTACATAGAGGACGACATTGTCAGCTTCATCGAGGAGCACGACAGGTGAACTCTGATCAGTGCTCAACCAATGGCTGAAGAGAGAGAGAAAGAACAATACCATATAGAATCACAACGTTTCCTCACAAGTCCTCTCAGGTGGATGCTTGAGTGAAATCTGCTTCTTTGTTTTTACTTATTTTAGACCAACTCTGAGAAAACTGGAGCCTCACAGCATGTATGAGATCTGGGTAAGCCAAAGACAATCCGTCGTGCAGTATGAGTCATTCTCAGCAAATGTTGTCTTTCTGTTCAGTCCTGTTGCTGTCACATTGATGGTTTGATCTTATACTGACATAATATTTAAGGGAGTAAGATTATAAAAGCTTGTGACCACATAGTTGTAACAGAACTCTCATGTATAAAAACCCATTTGCTGTGAGGAAGAAAAAAAAAAAAAATATATATATATAATGACATTAAGAGCACAACATTTAAACAAATTTTTTTTTTTTTAAACAAAACTATGTGTAATAGATATTAATACAAATATCTTAAATGTGCATGTTAACTTTGAGAGCCCTAAAAAAATAAAAAATGCATTACTCTTTTTGTCTCTCAAAATCCACCCCAGTTTGAGAACAACTATGTCCTGGAAAATTCCTATTGAACCTGAACCTGAGCTCATGTTTAACTTACACATTGAGGATAGCAGTGTATTTGTGTGGATTTTATACTGTTTTTAACGAGAAAAGGGCTGTTCAGAAACGGTGGCGTCTCATGTCATTTCATTTCTATCACGATCATGACTGTTACTAGCTCTGTGATTGGTGTCTGTTTTAGGAAGATGATATAAACGAACAGCACATCGTGGCCTTCGCTGAGGAGTCTGACCCTGGTAAACACTGATCTGAGTTTGAGAGTCTCTGAGGGATGTCATGTTCGTGACTCCAAATGACTGAATGTTGACTTTTACCAGACGGCTATGAAGTCCTGGAGATCCTGAAGGAAGTGGCTCAAGAAAACACAGAGAACCCAGACTTAAGCATCATCTGGATCGATCCTGACGACTTCCCACTGGTACAACAAACCTCTATAATACTGTATCCATTGAACATACCTTTGATTACTCCAAGAACATGCTTTTGAACGATGTGTGTCCTTAAATAAGCTGCCTTGGATAAAATGTGTTTATTATTTATTTATTGTTTTCTCTAGGGTCTGAATAGAGTTAGATTGCCTTTCATTTTTACATTTGTCATCTATGGTATTGTTGATATAGTGAACTCATATGTTCATAATGTCTCAAATCAATTTATATCACATATCCAACACATTGTGTGCTCAGCAGGTGCTTCAACATGAGGATCATGTGTGTTTGACTCTGCTGCGCTCTACTGGAGATAATTGACAACTGAATGAGTTTAATGAGTATGCAGGGAGTATCAGCTTTAAAAACCTCCAAGGAATTAAAAAAAATTGGATTATGACAATCAAAAAATACTTATTTATCTTTATTGAATTTTGATTGAGCAGCATCATTTCTGAAAAAAATAAATATATATATATATTATGAAAAAAATAAAGAAAGAAACGTTGCTGTAGTAAAATTTTAAATAGCTTTTTGCTAATATGGGCTATTTCCACTTAATTAAATTTTTTATTTTTTTGGTCAACTTTTTATGCAACATCTCACAATGAAATACTGTATCAGACATCGCTTACACTATGTGAACCGAGGTTTGACCTTTGACCCCTCTGTGTCCCCTCAGATGGTGCCGTACTGGGAGAAGACCTTCGGCATCGACCTCTCGTCTCCTCAGATCGGCGTGGTGGATGTTGAGGATGTGAGCACATCATTTGTCTCTAATGCCAATGATCACGCTAGTACAACTCAGAGTCTACGGTTTCCGAAATAAAGGTTCCAGTGTCACAGAGGAGCTGCTTTTGGTTCCTCTTTCGGTGAACAGTTCTTAAAACAAAATAACTTTCTCATTAAGGTCGAACAGTTTTTGGCAAATCAGTGTCTTAATGAGTGAGTCACAGATTCATTCATTCAGCTGATTCGTTCAAAATGGTGATTCATTTTTCAATGTATTTTTTTAATTCTAGGACGCTTATTGGCCATCGTGAGACTTTGATCAGTGGTGCCAGTACTTACATAGCTTAAGTTTTATCAACTGATGTCGATTCATTTAAAATAATCATTTAACTATAGATGTTATAAAGTAAATGTCAAGTCATGGAATTCAAGAGCAAGTCACTTAAGAGACTCAGTCATGTAAATGCAGTCCCCTGCCTCTAGCATCATCACCTACTTTGTAAGATGGAGGAGAGTTTTGATATTTGTGATTATTCTAAGTGTGTTTGTCTAACATAATCTCATGGCAATTTATAACTATTTTGGCAATTTGGTGACTATTCCTATGAATTTGTACAATCTTATTCTGTCTCCTTATCTGTCTGGGATTGATCCTGTGTGTAATTCTCAGGCTGACAGTGTGTGGATGGAGATGGATGACGAAGAGAACATGCCGACTGCTGACGAGCTCGACACCTGGATCGAAGACGTGATGTCTGGAATAATCTACCCTGGTGACGAAACTGACTACAACCATGATAATAATGATGATGATGATGATGATGAGGATGAGTAAATTCTTTCCTCAATCTCAGGCATCACTTCACCGTCATACGCTCATGTTTGTGACATGAAGAAGTCATCAGTCCGTCCACGTTCCCGTCATCACAAACTGAGCTGTTCTGTCATTACCGTCTGGAGGACGTGAGAAACATTGTGTCTCATCTCGCTGTTTAACTCTGCACCACTCATTCTTCAGGAAAAGAAATATCGGATTTGAGGATCACTGCAGCTGTTTCTCTGCCAGTGACACGCATCTAGTGAGAACGTGTGCGGTGTTTGATAAACAATAGCAAAGCCTCGTAACAACTATTTTGATATTTTTATTGACTTTTAGAGCAGAATAAATTATGCTCACTGGAAGGTCTTAACAGTAAAAACAAATAAAAAATGTTTTCCTTGTTTTTTGTTCTAACATAAAGGAAGAGATGGAAAAAATGTCAACTATTAAGAATCTTCATCTTTGTGTCATTTTGTGTGTGTGTGTGTGTCTGTGTGTGTGTGTACAGGTATATATGGTTTATGAGGACACAAATGTGTATAATGACATGGGTACTACAACGTACACATGGTTTATGAGGACTTCCTGTGTCCCCGTAAAAAAAAAGGCATAAAGGGGTCATATGATGCTGCTAAAAATGCAGCATCATATGAGAAATGACAAACAACAAGCGCTACTCAAAAAAATTGCTTTAAATATATAAAATATAAAAACTCTTTAAATATAAAAAACGTACTTACAGTCTGTGAGTCAGAACAGCCGGCATTGTAGTCTACTCTCCCAGGATCAGGAAACAGTCCTCCATAAAATGCGCTGCACACATCTGAATATTTGGGTTGAAGTGTTCTGGAACAGTGTTGTAAATACAACTTAACCACTGATTTCTAGTCGTGTCCTCTTTTGGAAGACCAAACAAAGTAGTTTCACTTTCACAACGAAACACAGCTTCACACACTGCTGGCTAGAGTGAGCGGCGGCCGGGGGCTAGAGTGAGGAACAGCCGGAGGGTGATCCACAGCGCGAAGTTGATGTATTCCCTCAGCGACCAGCACAGATCAGCTCCAGGCATGACGAAGCGGATATCGTACTCTTTTGGAAGACCAAACAAAGTAATTTCACTTTCACAACGAAACACACAGCACCTTCACGACGTGGCGGCAGCAACAATACTACAGCGAGAATAAAAGTTACACCTTCTTTCTTTGCGTGAACATTTGGGCGGCGTTATGCAAATCTTCCCACATAGTGATGTAGACATGTGGGGGCGTGTTAGAACGAGCCGTTTTAGGTAGGCGTGGCTGACTGAACTTTTATAAAGAATATCTCTTTGGATTTGAGACTTTAGTGTTTGCAACTTTACAGATCTTCTTTATGCACCAAGAGCTTGTAACACTCCAAAGAGAAAGGAAACATTTAAATCGCATCATATGACCCCTTTAGAAAACATACAAAACGGTGTTTTATGAAATTCAAAAATTAACAGTAGTTTTCTATAAGGGGTAGGTTTAGGGGTAGGGTTGGTGTAGGGCGATAAATGATATAGTTTGTACAGTATAAAAACCATTACGCCTATGGAGAATCCCCGGAAACGTCTCTAGGTTACGTATGTAACCATGGTTCCCCGAGGGAACGAGACGCTGCGTCGAGACGCTTTGGGAACGCCCTTGCGTGACCGCGTTCTGAAGCACGTGTCAAATCCGTCCAATGGAGCAGCGAGACGTCACGAGCAGGGTGACGTAAGCACCAGAAAGCATAAAGGCACATCCGGCCGGGCGCAAACCAGCTTCGATGAAGTAGCGCCGGCAGGGATGCAGGGAGTATGGCAAAGAGACGCAGCGTCTCGTTCCCTCGGGGAACCATGGTTACATACGTAACCTAGAGACGTTCCCCTTCAGGAACTCGAGCTGCGTCGAGTCGCTTTGGGAACGAGAATACCAACTGCGCCATACTACCAAGTCCCTGCCTGTGTGTGTGTCCTATGAGCACATCACGAAGAGAGAACTGGGGAACCTGGGGTAGAAGCCAGGTCTAGGTTGTAAAAGCGGACAAAAGTGGGTGGAGAGGACCAGCCCGCCACAGCACAAATGTCCTGCAAGGCCACACCCGAGCAGCGAGAGCTCGCAGTGATGACAATCAGCTGCTCGAAAGCTGACCGTGCATGCTCCGCTCCCAAACAAACGACACACACATCGTGTGTATCCCCTGCCGCCAGATATCGTGGGCAGGGAGAAACACAGCGTTTGTAATGCCGTTCACTCGCCATAGACTTCTCATTGTTTTATATATATATATGAGTGCTTGTGCGGACAGACAACAGTAAATAGACAGACACATACACAGAGCGCTACTGAAGAGCAGAAGCTGGTTTGCGCCCGGCCGGATGTGCTTTTATGCTTTCTGGTGCTTACATCACCCTGCTCGTGACGTCTCGCTGCTCCATTGGACGGATTTGACACGTGCTTCAGAACGCGGTCACGCAAGGGCATTCCCAAAGCGTCTCGACGCAGCTCGAGTTCCTGAAGGGGAACCACAAATGCAAGTATGTGTGCGTGGGTGTGTGTGTGTTTACTCAAGATTGAGTACTTCCTTGTAGACGGGAATCACCAGTTTCTCACCACAGAAAGCAAATATTGAAACGCTGCACGATTTATAAATGCTGAGTTCCACAATTTAAACAACTGAATCTAACACAACAACATTAAGAGGATAATATTTGAAATAACAACTCATACATTGTTTCTATGCCTATACAGTACATATTACTGGCCTATATGTAACTCTATAAAAACATACATTTTAATCTTATATTTTCAAATGTAAAATGAACATGTTTATTAAATGCAATAATAACTGAAATAACTACATAATAATTTAAATAACCAAATAATTAATTGGACAGTAATTCATGGGCAATAACTGAAAACCACAAAATATTCAGTTTTTATGTTTTGGTTTATTATAGACACAATGTATCATCCATTTTACTATGGACATTTTATGAATGTTATAAACGTACATCTTCAGATATCCAAAGGATGTTTGTATGTGATAATAGTATAATATCATAATATAATTGAGAGAAGCCGCTGTTTGTATTTCATTTTCCTAGAGGAAGCAAACAGATTATATTCAAACCTGTTCCCAAACCCTGTTCAAACACACAGTAACTACCTTCATTTGAGATGCATGCATTGATAGCCAAATATTCCATCAGAAATATTTTTGTCTCGTAATCTTGAATGAAATACTTTCTACTGTACTTAGTGAGCATTGAGACTCTGCATAGCTTTTTAATAAGTTCAACAAATTTACAAATTGCAAACTGTATTCTTGGTTTCATTATTGGTTTTCGTCTAAATAAAACTAAACTTATAAATGATTTCAGGTGCATCAGTAATGACAATGATCTCAAATGGCCATGAAACTCCATGTAAAAGGCATACATTTATAACATGACTTTTTGACTAATTTGGCCTTGACTTTTATTTTTTGAGTTCATTATGTGACTTAATTTTTTTTTTCTGTGTCAGTCTTTAATCTGGTACACCACTATTGCATGGTCTAACAATTATGAAAAAGCAAATACAAAAGTAAAAAAAATATAAATCATTTAAAAATAATGAATGTCTCTTTATTGTATTTATTTAGTTTTAGCGTTTAGTCTATTCTCTAATCGGAGACCTATTAATGCAAATATCACGCAAAGGTTTGGGTTGCATTTGCGTTTCTTCTGTTTGAACCCTAAATATTTGAGTTTCTGGAAAATATGAATATGACCTCATGACAGATTTACACAGAATATCATCAACGTAAACTACAATCATGTGATTCCCGTCCCTTCCCTTAGACTATATAAAGGACAGCGTTAACCTCGTCTCTGCAAACTCTCTTCTGTCCTCAGGCAAACAGCGAATTTCAGAGATTCACCATGAGACATCTTGTTATTCTTCTCTTACTTTCTTCTGTGTGTTTCTTTGCTTTGAGTGAAGTAGTAGATAATAATTTTAGTAAATGCAAGGAGTTCTTTTTGGACACCACACCTCCTGACTTCACACCACCAGCGGGTGTCTCAGTCAAGCCCATCTGTCAGTGTATTTGGGATAACAATGATAAACACATTTTTCTTTATGCAACGTTGTACAACACGACCTGGAAGATCCCCGTCTACTCCGCATATGTGTTTCGCAAAAGCAAAAGTATTGGGAGATGTGACGCCTGGTACATTGAACCTCAGGTAAATACACATTCATTTCATGAGAAAAATAATATGAATAATAATAAGAGTGTGTGATTTTGGGCTATTACATCTGGTGTATTTCAGTGTTTGATGTTGTAAAAAGTATTTGAAACAAGACAAAGTGATGTCAGTTTTAAGACTCTGAATGTTATTATTATTACTTTTATTTTCTTTTTAAAATTTATTCTCATTCCCTTTAGCTGGATTTAGATCCTGAGCTATGTATGAGGTCTCAAGGCTACGGTAGCAAAATTGGCACTAATCAGGCTCTGAATAGTGACTATGAGAACTCTGGCTATAACAAAGGTCACCTCTATCCCGTGCTCCACACCGACAATCATCTGTCAATGCTGGCCACATCCACACTGACCAACGCGGCTCCGCAGAATCCAGATTTCAATCAGAAAGCATGGCTTGGACATGAGAAAGCTGTAATTAAAGACCTGGAATCCTGTGATGAGGCAGCTTATGTGGTGACTGGTGTAGTTCCTGACACAAAAACCATACTGAATAAAAAAGTCACTGTGTCAAAGTATTACTGGAGAGCCACCTGCTGTCTGAAGAACAATCAGTACACAGGGAAGGGCTATTATGGACCGGACAACAACGGCCAAGTACAGGAATTAACAATAAAACAGCTTCAGGCAAGAGACAGCATGGCTGATATTGCTGCAGGCACTTCATGCGCAACTGAGGGTGTACCTGTACTGTATTATAAGCAAGATGAGCATGCACATTACGGATGTTTAGCACAAAGATGAACAATTTTGGACACAGAGATTTAAAAATGAGGTCTTTTATATTATGATTCTTTGCATTGCATGAATTGTATGGGTTTTGCACCATAAACTGCACACTGTCTGTACCTTGTCTTATAGAATGACACATGTATTCTTGCTCTTGATCTAACGAAATAAATGTAGCTCATTCCAAATGGACACTGATGTCAATTTTTGGACAGGTCTTTATTCAAAGTTAACTATGACTTGCAACTTATATAATGGCAGGTATTTGAAAAGACAATCTAAAAAATGTGACTCGGCACAGTTCGTTGTCCATGATGAGAATAGATCTGTGTATGTTTTACTGTCCTTCCATCCCCAGGGATGAACTATTAAAACATCGACAACAAATGGTAGACAACAACTGCAGCAGCCTATATAATAATAAA